TCAAAGGAATACGAGCACAACCGAGCTTGCCCGAAAGATATAATAAAATGCGGACTCCCACAATATTACATATAAAGTATATATAAATATGCGGTTTTCATAAATGCTATCGTTGATATTATTTAATATTTAATTGAATAGACTGAAGCAATATAAAAATTAATATATATAAGTATATCCGCAACAAACAAATAAAATAAAAATACCCACAATGATATGTAAATAAATATAGCGTCTATAATATTTATTTCAATTCCGCTTTGTGTAAAAACACTTATTTCTACTAAGATAGGGGTAGTAAATGGAAGTCGTGTGAAGCGCGTATCAGATTTTTTCATAACCATCCGCTACAGACTTCAGTGCCAAAACGCCTTTAAAGATTTTAATGAAACTTGGCTAAAATCCTCTCCTTGAAGTCATTTTATATTTATATGTATAACATACATCACCGAGTCTGGAAAAAGTAGCAAGAATTTTGAATTGTAAGTACACATAAAAGTGAATATACGAATGTAAAACAACAGAAAAAATGTTTTTGGAAATATGCAAATTCATAAAAGTTTGCCTCAAATTTTCAATCGTGATTATGGTCGAATTTCTACGATTATCACACTAGTGCTCTACTATTAGAACACTGGAACACTAGTTAACTGAAAACTGTCATCACCGTTAAACAGTCGCGATATTGAGGAATCTACTAAAGCCACCTAAACCCGGTTTTATTCAACTTCATTTTTCAATAAGGTCATTGAATTTAATTTCGCACAATGGTGGCAAGTCACACTCGTTCCCATAGAACAAGAATAAAGAAGATTTAATTACTTGGTTGCCATTTGTTTTTCTAAAAACTGTATTGAAGGCGTTATAAATAGAAATGTGATTTGTGACTTAATATCCAATTTTAGCGGCCAGGAAGCAAAATAATGGTCCCAAATGCACCCTAATTTTTAAAGGAACAAACTGTGTTTAAGTTTGCTTAAGGCATCAATTTATATGAGCGAGGGAATCGAGAGATGCCAAAAAGAAAGGTGGTGCGAAACTGAAGAATACATATTTAAGGTATATGCCTGAGATCACTAGCAGATCTAGGATTTAATTTTGGGGGGGATTTAATTTAAACTATATTATATATATATATAATATAGTTGAACTCCTCTCCTGGAAACCCCATATCGCCCTCATCTCCCGTAAGTCAATAGGTACCCTTAAGCTATTTCATCGCTCCCGCCACCTTTTTTTTTTTTTATTAATTTATTTATTTACATCCCTACCGTGCCTGATAGGCAATACGGGTTTTAGCAGCAGTGAGATGTTAAGCGTTTCCGCGTAACAACACACTGCTGCTAGAAAAACAATATTTATAGACTGGGTCCATATTTCGACCACTAGCGGATCCAGGATTTAATTTTGGGGGGGGCTTCAGCCCGAAATCTTTTTTTTTCATAAAAATAACGATAATTACTTTGGAAAAAAAGAAAGAAACTAACTACCTATATGAAATGGTGTTTAAGTTATTCCTTAAGTACTTTTAAATGTAATTACACGAACAATAATACTTTAAGAGGTATTTTTAAAAAAAAATTTCCCATAAAACATGGTTATATTTTTCGATTTTGGGGGGGGGGGGGCTTCAGCCCGAAAGCCCCCCCCCCCCGTAGATCCGCCCGTGATTTCGACTATATTTCTTCTAAGTTTGGTCACGTTTTTCTTCTGCTACTCCGTCCGGCGGCCTTCTAGGCGGTGCAGCTCCTTTTCTTCCCAAGGAGGAATGAGTTGGGCCTATAATGGATTTCCATTTTGCAATAAAATCTTTAAAATGAGGATAGTTTTCCTCACTCATGAGTTGAGGGAGATCTCTTTCAGTCAAAGTGTAGAGACCGGTTTCCCTCAGCAGTTTTGCTCTCTGTGCCTCCACACTGGGGCACAAGGGGTCGATATTCTTTCCAAATTGGAAGAGCTTTGCTCGGAAGCCCCCGTGTCCAGTGAGTAGTTGGGAGACCCAATAACCAGGTTCCACCCATTTTGCTGCTAATCGGGAACCGATGGTGGGAAAATATTTTCTAAGAGTACTTACTTCCTTTCGGAGTTGTTACCCATCGCTGGTTCCATTCGTCAACGGTGTACTCTTGTATTATCTTTTTCCATCTACCTAGCGCTTGGTTAATCACGCTCCCGCCACCTATTCCCACAACCCATCCGCAAGCTCCTTGTATCCTCTCTCATTTTCGCCACTTTGACTACGGCTGTATGGTGTACGGAGGAATCCCGATGGTACTCGAGGATAGATTGAAGCGACTCATGAATACGTGCTTAAGATTTGTCTTCGGTACATCGAGGCGGTCTCATGTGTCCCACCTTTACGAAGAGTTAAAGTGGCTCTTCCCTTCTTTCCGCAGAAAATATTTCCTTGGATCTTTCCTATTCCAAACGATTCAACACCCGACACCCTTCCTACATCTACAGTCTCCTACCGTTTAAACCCGTGGTCCACTCCCAGAAAACAAGATCACGTGTTTCCGACCTTTATATTCCTTCCCATAGAACTAAGACGTTTGAATATTCCTTTATTGCTCGATCCACAGCCTTCTGGAATTCTTTGCCATCTGAAATCCGCCATGCCTCTTCCTTGTCCTCATTTAAATATCATCTCTACCAATTCCTTCTCCCAAAATGACGTTATACAATAAAATAAATATTGCAAAACAGATTTTGACTGAGGTGAATGGTTGTTAAAATTGATTGAGTTTTAATTTTAAAAATCAACCCATGCTTATTTTATTTTGTTTTCTTTTCATTTAAATAATGTTTTTTTTTTATTTCGTTTTTTCTCAAAATGGTGTTATTTTTACTTGTTTTAATTTAATTTCACTGAAGATACTGTATATATTCTTTAATATTGATTAATGTAATTTTTGGCCAGATGTAGTTTTTATTTTTTTGTTCATATCTGTTATTCATAAGGGACCTTGTCCCAGAATAAAGTTTACTTTCTATCTACCTATATATATATATATATATATATATATATATATATATATATATATATATACATAACATAATTGCTTTGAAACAAAAAGAAAGAAACTAACTAACTACCTTTATGAAATGGTGTTTAAGTGATCTTTGAAATCCTATTAAATGTAATTACATGAAAAATAATACTTTTAGAGATAATGTCTTTCACAAGACATGGTTATATTTTACCATTTTGGGAGGGAGAAGGGCTTCAGCCTGAAAGCATTTTTTATATGCATATATAACATAATTACTTTAGAACAAAAAAAAAAAAAAAACCTTTATGAAATGGTGTTTAAGTGATTCTTGAAGTCCTATTAAATGTCATTAGATGAACAATAATATTTTCAGAGATAATTTTTTTTTACAAGACGTGATTATATTTTACAATTTTGGGAGGAGGAGGGGCTTCAGCCCGAAAGCACTCCCCGTAGATCCGCCAATGCCTGGGATGTTACAGCAACTATTTTCTGGAAATCAGAACCATCTTTTATCATCCATTTTACATATTTTTAAAATTTTCACCAAAACGGCTCAAACGATTTTAATTAAACTAAGTTTATGAATATATAATTAAATGGTCTTCAATATCAGCTAGATCTTGTTCTAAATAATGTTACTTAACAGGGCTTAATTACTTAATGTTCGAATATTTCTTCCTCTACATACATTTGATTTGGTTTATTTTAAATAATTAACATTCTATTTATGATCGCCACCCCGGATCATCTCCTTCCTTTGTAATGCAACGGTCAACTATTAAATATTCAATTAAATAATTAACCGTCTTTCATTGTCAGAAGCAATAAAAATTGGCTGAATATAAAGATTGAAACAATTTTATAACTGACTAAAGAAAGTAAGTAAAAAGAAAAAATGTTTACTTAGATCGAAAATGAATCTCAGAAAACAATAGTCAGAAGTTATACGTATAATATATTGTTGAAAAGCGGAGAATTTTAGAAAAAAAAACAGGATCTAACACAGAAAGTCGTAAAAGATAATGGAGAGTTACGAAAAATTATAAATAATAATTTGTGAAAACTAATATTATTTAACGGAAATCACATGTTTCCAAGGAAATTAAATGAAATTTTCTGACTAAATGTAAACTTTTAAAATTACTTTTAAATATAGACAAAATGTATATAATCCTCCGAATCAAGGCAATCAGAATGTTTTAAACTATTTTATTGTACTTGAATGAAAGTAGAATTAAAATATTTCATGGATGACTAAAACTTATTTTTACATTTACTGTAGATTAATAACTCCAGATCTGATATTACATTTAAATAATTAGCAATATATCATCAATTTATTCCAAACAAATATTATGTAATATTAGAGAAAATTAAAACATTTAATAATTTGATGAATTTTTTCTCCACTTAGAATTAGTGCGACAACTTTTGACCTATCGATGGAAGGTGATGAAAACTTCGTAACTTTACTTTAGTAAATTTTACAAGGGAAAAATAAACGTTTAACAACGTCATCATCATAATCTTTATTTTCCTTTCACCACTGCTATGCAGTGTGGGGTTAATAACATATATAATGTTATTTAGATTTAGTTTTTTAAGTTTTATTATTAAAAACAATCCTTACTCATTTATATATTAAATATAGAGATGTGCTTTCAAATCTCTCTTTGCATACAGAGCCTTAGCTCTATTTCATTGTTTATTTAGTTATTTTATTCTCTTCAGAATGAAGTTATGTGGTTCAAAAAGGAGTTACGAGGTTTTTATAATCTACTGTCGACATAATAAATATGATATGTGTTATCATATTGGTCTTGATGAGTTTTTACTGGTTAGCTGTAAGGTTTAAGTTTTAGCTCCTTTGAAAATGCACTTAAACCATTTTTTAATAGTCCAACTTTTCAAAAAAATAATTTCTGTTCAAATTAGAGCGGTTAGAAAATTGTGTGATGAGACAAGTTTTTCTTATTAACAATGAGGGATAAATAACAAATGACATAACAAATAATAATGTTTTTTATTATTATTATAAAGAATATTATAAATTTCAACATTTTAACACACTAAATATTTGTTGATAGACATACACTCACAAAACAATGTCACAAAAATAAAAATGGTACAATAAACTAGTTTAAAAAGGTGGAAACTGTGTCACATATTGAAATTTCGGTGATTGACATGTAATTTTTATATGGAAGTATGTTTTAAAATAATTAAATGTTTTTCCAAAATGTAATTTCATGCAAAGGGAGAGGGAAATATTAACTTAAAGAATGTCACACAGCCTCCGAAATGAGCAAATGAAAATATTTATTTATTTAAAATACATACATATACATATATTAAACAATTTTATTACTTATTGCAACATGAAATTTAGCAATCAAAATGTCGATATTATATGGATATATTAAAAAAAAAAATTAAATAAAATGAACTGGAATTTTTTATTTATCATAAGAAAATTTATAAATAAGCTATTTAGGGAGGATATAAAATAAGTGTGATGCCCAGAAATAGACTTGTCTAATCTAATAATAAAAGCCATTTTATTATTTACAACACTGTTAGTATATAGATGGCGTGTTTAAAGGTTTTCTGCACAACTAATTGGCCCTAGAATTATTTTCTGTCAGCTTTACCACATATACAACTGACACACTCCTCAGGGGACAGAACACAATTTACAAATACAACTACTTTTGTATATGGCTCTTTCTATAGAAATATTATACAAAGTCCTCCATTTTTTTGTTTTTAATTTTACACGCTAAAATACATCAATTACTAAAAATGTACGTTATCACTAAAAACTGGCACATACCAAATTTATATATATATATTTATATATTTATACCTGCTATATAAGATTTGATTTCTAATTTTATTTACACACAGCCTCGGTCATTTTAGGTATTAATAAAATTGAATCGCCAAGGCATCTTACTGACTAGCCTACCTTTAGATCGTAACTAGATCCGCGTCGTCGAGGATAAAATTTATTTAAATAATAGAACACATGTCCTGCTTGGATAATCTGCAGAGAGGTCATACCCCTGCAAACAGGACCGTTAGAATATATACCAAATGCACCACAGTGCTTGATGAGGCTAGAGTATCAAAGCATATACATATATCACTTGGCCTTTAATATTAGCACAACCGGCCATTACAATGGACACAACCATTTTTAATTTTTAGTCCCTTATTACAATAAATATAAAAAAATGTATTTTTACACTAGTTTTTTGTTTAGTAACGAAAATATATATAAAAAAGAAATTAAAAGGCGGATCATAATAATACAATAGAAATACTAAGTGCCGCCTGGAAAATTGCATAAGATTTACATATTGTAGGCGACGTAGATAGGATCGAGTTGGTCGGCAAGGAAGCCGTCGCGGAGATGCATTCTCTGCTTCTCCCCGCGGGAGTTGATTGGTACAACTCCTGGGTCGACCACTACTGCTACGCCTACGATTAGATGGTGTTCTTCAAGGACAGCAGTTGTGACCAGAGGTACAAGATCAAGAGCTTCACTTTCATTTCCATCAAGCTCAACAACAACAACTAGTAGATTCGTCCAAGTAAACACAGCACTGCAAAAACAAGAAATGAGGTCATCAGAAATATTATCATAATCTAAAATAATTGAATCCTGCATCAAATGCAGTTAACTTAGAAAACATAATATAACCAAACTTCTTAAATTCATCATATAAAAATTAATTTAGATTTAAAAAATAGCTAATAAACCAAGCTTATTACAATTTGACTAGAAACCCATGGTTTTAATTAAATTATAAATTAATATGATTTTATTTTTATTATTATCTGTGAATTTAATAATAAAAAAAAATCGAACAACCACATAGACAATGTCAAACAAGTGGGTTTTGGTGTTATTTAATGTAAAATTAAATAAATATATAGCACAGTTAATATTGAGTTATTGGTGCTGTTTGATTTATTTGTAAAATAAGGTAATAGGTTCTTTTTTTTTTTTTTTACGACAAGAAAAATTTACTTTAGTTCGCAAACAAATTTCCTAGGAGTTTGCGAATTCATACAAAATTTTGAAGCCACAATATCGGATAATGATTTTTTATATAATCCAAATAATATTTCAAATAAATATTCTGGAAGATCATTACCATTCAGCAATTTTCTTATGGCACCTCATCACACTATTTTCGATGTCAATCGGGTGGTATCGCATTCCCCTCAGCATCACAGTTTCATCAAGAGCACCAACGACAAATACTGCATCATGAAGTTCTGCTAACAGTTACAAAGATTAATATTAGATTATAAATTTATTTTCAAATATTACTTTACCATCATGTTATATATAAATATTTATTTACCAGAGGAGTCCTGTTGCTGAGGTCGATTGAGCGGAGAAATCTCATGTAGAGAAGTCAGGTCGGTGAGGTCAGATGTAAGGAGTGGAGGAGGCTGGGTTGTGCCGGGTTCAGTTCTTCGAAGGAAGCCAAGGTACCCAGTTCTTGCATACACTTCTCCAGTGTTGCCTGTCACCAGACGTGCATTGAAATGTTCGTTATATTCGCTGTCATCACCATATATTGAAAAGTAGCCGCTCGCATTGTGAGGAGACTGTACCCAGATCTGAAGCAGTAAATATATTTTATTAATAACGAAATACTGAGTGAAATTGAGAACTGTATAAGCAGCAGGAAATAATGTCTATTCATTAGAGAGAACAGAGGTGACTGTTCGGTCTAGAAGGGGACCTGAAGGAGATGGGTATAAAGCAGTGGAGATGCTTCACAAGTGACCTTTGCCTAGCCACAGTTCTTCAAATACTGTAGAGCCCAGCAAAGAAATTGAAAAATAATTATGATTTTAGAGCGATTTTGGAAAATAATATCAAAACTATTTCTGTACAATACCGAGCCTGTTATGAAATTGAAATTTTTCTAGGATATTTATAGAAACAATAATAAATTTTATTTATTGGTATTTGAATGAACTAACAAATGATAATAATCAATAAAATCTAGAGGTAAAGGATCAATTATTGATATATTACAAAATCTATCAATCTGATTAGAAAAAATATTTTTATGTTAGATCATTTATTGAGAAAGGCTTATAACATCACCCTAAGAAGTGTAGGAACAGAATCATAACTATAAATATCAAATAGTCTTGAAAACTGTAGACAGTCACAAAAAGACAGCTCTTTGGGTTCAAGAGACGACTACCTTGATAGTGAGTATATTATATTTTTCATTAAGTTGGAGGATAATAAGCCTGGCAGTTCGGTGTTGCTGCTGACTTATTTAATTTTTTTCTAAAACTACAGGTCTATTACCAGTAGGATCTTAGCAACTCCTAAATTGAAGAAGGCTCTCTACGGGTTGTATCAGTACCGGTTTATTTTTTGTTTTAGATGTTAACATGCATCCAGGACTATACCATAGTGATTTTTATCATGTCAGGAGATAGAAAAACATTTTTTTTTTTCATAAATCTTGTCACCTATAGATTTCAGATAAATGTCAACTTTTTTACCAAGCTACTATTACAAAAAACAACTATAAAGAAAATATTGTTACCTCTCCAAGATGTGAGTCTCCACACTGTCCCTTAGTTTCTGGATTGGCTATGATAACTTTAACACCTGGGAGCAGTTTTCCAGATTCCAAGAGGCAGAGGGAATGCGGAGAACCTCTCTCAACTAGGCTGACGCGGTCGTTACGCAGAGCACGTAGGTCGACATAAACTGATGATGGTTCTGGGCTTGATGCACCCTAAAAATAATTAAAATCATTAAATATTACTTTAAAAATAAAAATATAACATAAAAGATATGACAAAAATTGTATATTTAAAAATTTATCAATTTTTGAGCTTCTAATGAGCATTAAGTTAAGTTAATGCAATAGAGTTTAAGAAGCAGAAGTTTAAGAGGCATAGCTTATAGAGAGAGAGAGAGAGAAAAACACATTATTTTCATAAAATATAAAGGATTGCTGCCCAATTATATTGAGTTGCTATATACACAGCATACTCTTCTATCCATAGGACAATATATGAACTTATATATAAATATACAGAAGTATCACTTAATATTAGTAATATATATATATATATATATATATATATATATATATATATATATATATAATATACATTTTTATTATTTATTATTTTTTTTTTTTTCCTTTTTCCTTCCTTTCATTGTTCATGCTTTTTTTAAATTTTTTTTTAACATTTAGTTTCCTTTTCTCTCACTTCTCTCTCTTATTGTCTCTCTATTGTTTTCAATTATTCATTTATAATAAATAATAATAATAAACAATAATAAAAATACCTGGAGGCAAACAGCAACATTAACCCTGCAGCCAAAGCTTGTCGATACTGCTCGAGGACTGAGTCCAAGGGTTGAGAACAGTTTGGAGAATGAAGAGGTGAGGTTGATTCTAGGCCTCTCTTCAGCAACCACGACACAGGTTCTGACGCATGCTAAAGAAACACCTCTCGCCTTCAGGGCGTTCACACTCGACCCGAGTCCTTTAGTGCATAGTTCCATAACTCCTGCAAAAATAAAATTCAATTAGAAATAGAAAGATTGTTTAATTTTCCTTTATGGTCTTATTTTTTACAACCCTTAAGACCATTTACACATTGATAATATTGTTTTTATTACATAATGCAAACATAGGTGTAACTATGAAATATTAACTTTATATATTTTTTTAAAATCTTTCCATTTGATACATAGAAGTTATACATTGTTTTTAAAGTTAATTTTATGTAAAATAGAGGATTATTTTGAATATATTAATTTTTGTACTTGACAAAAGTTAATTAAGACAAAATTGTACTTAAAAAAATAAATACCATAAGAGCAGAAGGTATCTCTGACTCGATACTGGCTAACCGCTGACAACCACAAGGCTGGGTTCACCTCCACTTCCGATGGAGGTATAAGGATGGAATGGTGGCCAGAATATACACTGAAAAACAATTTCAAAATTTATTAGTAAGAATTCACAGTATAAACTAACTCATTATCTTTAAAAGACAATTTAAAATATTCTAATCATACCTGCTAAGACACCAGAGTGCGAATCCTAATCCGCAATAAGGGTCAAGGCACAGTGCTATGTGCCTTGATGGATAAAGCTCGCAGGCTAATTTCATTGATCTGCATAGCGATGTTACGGCTGCATGGGACATTTTGATACCAGCCAGCATTCCTGTTGTGCTTACACTGTTAAATGCAATAAATTAATTGACAATTTTCAAAATAACAGATTTAAAAGTTTAAAATAGAGAAAAATAAGAAACTTACAAGTAACAAAATAAATTTAAAATTTTGTGTTAAAAAATAATTATTTAAGTTCAATCCTTCAAAAAGTTTAAAGTGATTCCAATTTTGTTTTTTTTTCTCATCTTCCCTCCCTCATTATATTTAAATTAGCGAAAAACCTCATGTTTCTGATGATATAATAAATAATTTAGCATATATTATATAAAAAATATTATAGAAAAAATATTAAGATAATTTACAGAAGAGTTCTGGCTTGTATGAATAAATTAAGCATAGTTTATTTTTGTAATAATTTAAAAAAAAATTACCTAAAGTCTAAATAAGCTAACATCTCGGCTGTTGGTGCACGATACGGAGCCGTGAGTTTCTTCTTGGGCATATCATCAGTGTCGAGGATCACAGGCCATGATTTAATATCTACTACATTACTTGCCTCCTAATAAATTAAAAATTAATAATTATAATAGTTATTATTCAATATAATTTAACGAAACCATCATCATAATATAAAGATATTACCTTAGATCTAAGGAGCTTGATCACATATTGGTTTGAAAGGACTAGAACAGATTTGCTAACATCAACTATCATTCGTACTGTTGGTAAGGTTGTTTGCAGATTTTGCGGATGTGGGGGCCTTATCGTCACGGGTACAGCTCCTAAAATGATACATATATATTTTATTACTAGATGAAAGAAATATAAATAAACAAATATTTCCAACATTAAGTTATTATAGAAAATTTGCTAGACCAAAATAAAACCAATTTTTGGGTATTCTAATAAAAAATGTGAGCATAATAAATTTGTGGAAATACTTGTAAATTTATTAAATAAAATCAGACAGGATCATGACAAATGTAAAACATAGATCTCTTACATCAACAATGAACATTCTATCGAACATTTTCTGTGGATTTATATTGAAGTGTAAGCTGAAGTGATTGTATATATTGAAGTATAAGCTGAAGTGATAGTATATATATTGAAGTATATGCTTAACTAGTCAGTCTATCTTAGACTATTAAAGTGAGATGTTTATCTTCTACATTAATGTGATTCGATCTTCTTTTGTTCTGATAATGCTTCAACTAACAGAACATTGATTAGGATTAGAGAGACTTTCAACTTGTCTTGGAATCCTCTGATAATATGCTATGAGTAATTTGTTTCTTTTTTTTTTTTTTTACTTACATAAATGAAAAGATCTTTGATAGTAAAATTAGACATTTCAAACTAACAGAATACTTAACATCGATTTAACAGACAATTATTCAAATTTAATTTCTCTCTCAAAAAAAAAAAAATCTAGCAAAAAATGATACATACCGACATAAAGGCATCCATAGAAAGCCGAAATGAGATCTATGCCGGGTGGAAAGATAAGGGCAACATGGTCCCCAGTGTTGATCTTGGCTCGCTCCAAGAGCAGTGAACCGACTCGCTCGGCTCGCTTGTGCAGCTGAGAACAGGTTAAGACTCCAGCTACGCCGCCCTTCGAGTTGAGAAGGGTGAATATCAGGTGTTCAGAGGTGGAAATGGCTCGCCATCGTAAAATCTCGGATATAAATTGGTACTAGGAACAAACAAAGATATCATTATAGTAAATAAAGCGAGAATATAAAATGAGAAAGAATAGAGACTAAACATTATAATTATTAGAATATTCATGAAAGCATTTTAATAAACTTGAAATATAATTACAATTAAAGTTTCATTAAAAATTTATTTCTTTGCTAATTTCATGCATCTGTGGAATTAAATACTATAACTATCATTTTATATAAGCTCCGTGTTATAGCTCACAATAAATTCTTAATGCAGATTAAAAACTTATTACAAAATTAATACTAAAATTATTATTCTTTAAAGATCTGCTACATCTAATATTTAATAGAAATTACAAAAAAAGAAGATAAAATATAATCTTTTATAAATTTTTAGGTAATAAACTATTTATTAATTTTTAGATTGAGTTTAATTTATTAGTAAACTTGTTTTTATAGTAATGAACATAGAATATTATAGATAAAACTTCAATATATATATATATATATATATTTAATTATATTTGTTTTACTTTTTAGGAGGAAATACATGAAATTTTAAAAATATAAGCTAATTTTGGGCAAAAGTTTAAGATTATCCTAGAATATAGGTGGAAAATCATGTGCTGTTAATGAAAGCTATAATAAATTATATTTAATATTATTGATTTGGAAAATTATCAGAATGGTTAAGAGAACAAAAATACCAGCAGTAAAATATAAGACATTATTGAGGCCTCCTTTATGACTACCTAATTTAAATGTTTGCCTCTAATGGCAAAAACTTCTAGTTTAGAAGATATAAAAAAATAATAGCTATTAGATATTCTGAAGCATTAAACTGATTTGACATGATTAATATGAATCAATAAAAATATTTAAACAATGTCAAAGAAGAAACACACAATTATTTTTATTTCAACTTATTTCTGAAAATTTTTCAAGTATAATAATCAATAGTAATTAAATTTTCATACTCACTTTTCGAGCCGAGTCGGACTCTTCGTCAACAATCCCCATGTCTCTACCCTGAGCCGAAGCGAGCCGGTTTCCTTGAACGATGTTTCCGACCATTACCGAAGCAGGACCTACGTCTGAAACATTCGCACCTTGTTGCAACAAAGATGTCTTAGTATCCACTGTCGATAAAATCTTATCTAAATTAAACATATGATGTTGTGTAATAATAAGTAATTGATTATTGACTTTCTTTATAAACTAGGCTAATGTTTCTTTCATACATGTTTTAAAATATTAATCACAATGTTTTTTTAGCATTATCATTCTTCTACAATCCTCCCAATGTATCAAAAATTCTCACTAATGATGAATAAAATTACTATTAAATTTCATATAAAAAAATACTATTATGTGCATACATTTTTTTAAAAATATATACTTTTCATGATACATTCATTTTTAACATAACATAGACACTAAAGTTTTTGGTTTTAAACTTTAACCAAACAAACTATAGGATGTTTGATCCATAGAACATATTGTCTTTGGAAATGAAATATAAATCTTTGATATATCCCAAGCTCAATGCACTAAGGCCAATTTGTTACTTTTGAAAAGCCATAGATTTCCTTATGGGTCGAAGATTTCAAATAATTTATATAAATTACTATATGCAGAAATATGAGGCTTTGTAAAGCTCTTAGCCTCTTCATGTTCTCCAGGTGGCACTTTAGTCCTTACTGTCCTAGTTGGAGAATGTTAACTCAAATTTTAAACTAAGATTTTTTAGTAAAAATGACTACAGTTTATCTTAACAAAGCAAAAATGCTAAAAAAAAACATGAAAGAAACAGAAGCCTCATTTTTCTGTCTCAAAAAATTATTATTATAACTCTAAAATATTATAAAAAAAAATATATCAAATAAAATCTTATTATTACACAACAAAAATAAAAATAATAATAATGAAAAATCAACCAATAATGCACATAATGTTGAACTACTGTCAGATAAAGTTAAGGAGAACATAGAGCTGATCAATTAAAAAATAAATGAATACGACTGCATACTTTTGGTCATAGTATAAAAAATAAATACTTAATAGACAATTTTATTTTAGTTTGTTGAATAAGGATAAGTTTTAACAAATAATCATGAAAAATATTTTTAAAAAATCATTCTTCACCCAGTACCAGTATAGTATTTTATATTTTCAAGCTATATGAAATTACTGATTACTGAAGAAATACTTATGTGGTAACGTTTTATCAAATTTCAAAATGTAACCTTTAAAATATTGTTATTCTTAAATACTAATCAAAATTACAGAAATTAAACTTCATATTACGAGTACGAGTCTGAAAACAGTGAAAATATTTCATATTTTTTTGATAAGTATTAATTGTATAGTAAAAAATATCAAGCAACCAGAGCAAAGTGAACAGGCAGTGAAGGAGAATGCATGTGCACAAGATTGTAAAGTATATCAGTTCTAGTAAAACTGACAAAGCAGTAATTACATAATGCAAGGCGGAAGAAGTCATTTTAAAAACTCTTATGTGACTATTAATTTAAAATATTGACTTATTAAAGTAAGTAAAACTTCACCAGTTCTAATAAAAACTTTATTAAAATAATCTATATGTATTTTTTTTTAAGTAATTGAAAATTAACAGCAACAGTAAATACTTAATAGCAGTTAAAAGAAAACATTTATTTGATAAAATTTATCAGCTAGTTAATTGATAAATGGAAGTCGCTACAGTTAAATGATAAAACCAATCACTACAATTATGTTATAATAAGTAACCAATGCAGGTTTTTTATAATAATACATTAAATAAAATAACAAAACAAAAACTTTAATGTAATCAAATATAATTCGTAATTAAGTGTTGTGAAATAGCACAATGCTGACAAGAATGTATGAATATATTCGTACTACAATAGTTATAATTTAGAAATGAGGAATATTTTTAAATGCATTGAAAAATTTAAGTAACTGGGCTCTGCAATATTTAAAAGAAACAAAATCTATGATTATTGGCATAAGTTATAACATAATCCAAATATCACCTACTGTTCTTTACTTATGAGAATTTAGCTTAAGTCATATTTTTTTTAATTACATAATTTTGTGGATTTTGGACATAAAATATATGGTTTTGCAATATCTGCAATCGGGCAACTCTTTTTCAATTCTTGATATAATTTTATGTTGCTTAATAAACTTTAAAATTTTAAAATTAATATTAAAGTGATTTTTTTCTAAAACAATATTTCCCATAATTAGAATGTTTCATTGGATGCCATTATTGAATAGTTAACCACCAGAGTAAAGTATAGATTGATAAAATTAAACATCAAAATAAATGAATTAATAACAATCAAAATTCATATTAATAATAGAATCATCATGAATATGAAGTTCCTAATATAAATATGTTATGAGTGAGATAACATAGTTAAATTGGACAACAAGATTGTTCTCCATCTCAAACATCCAAACAAACAACTCAAACAACTGAAACAAATTATATAAATCTGACAGCAATTCAAAAACAAAATAAATTAAAAAGTTAATTTTTTTTTCAACACAGAAAATATTTTTATGTTTCTTAAAACTAAAATTAAAGATTAAAATTAATTTAAAAATTCCATAAAATTTCAACTTCAAATAATTAAATCATTCCTAATCGATGTTTATAATCATCCTTTTGCTGCATCATTTCATTTTTACAATTAAACATACTTACTTGATAATATTATTTTAATTATATGGGACATAAAGCTAATCATACACTCAACCGAGAATACCATCTAAGTAGAGAATGGAGTAAATCAATCAGTAACTGACACGTAAAGTTGTTGTTGGATAGAATTTAGCAGAAATAGATTTATTATTATTTTAATTATTTAAAAAAAACATTTTATTAAAACATTCTCAGAACCTGTTTGTGTTGTATGCGGAAAATATTGACTAATTTTAATATTTTATGTTCCTAGTAACTATAAAAATTTAAAACATGATTTCTTCTAGAGCTGTTAAATAAAATTTTAAATTAGTTTTAGTTAAATGTGATTATTTTTATATGTATAACTGACTTTTCATAATTATTAGATACCCTCAGAACCAGAATAGTATTTATAGTTCAAATTAGAATCTTTATATAGTAAGTCTACTTAAACTGAAAATCCAATAATCGATATTATAAAATATTATGGGCTCAATAAAATAATATTGTTAAATATTATAGAATGTACAAGATGAAGCCTAGATTTAATTATGTTGTTTATAACATCTTCAATTTGTATTTTCTCACATCTAATGAAGTTGAGAGAACAGATCAATCCAATCTTATCAAATAAAAAGATAGTATGGAGTTCATTAATAAAATATTTTAAAAAAATACAATTTATTAATTAGAGTAGTAATTTAATTTTAAATTATAAACACGATATAATTTTTTAACAAGCACAATGATATCCATTCTAAACATTTAATGACCCATAATTATCTTAAATAGTAATTATCTCTATTCAAAACCTTAAAGAATTGTTTAAAACGTAGGCATTTAAAAATCGTAATATTTTACAAAATTTTATTCAGTAATATATTTCCTTTTAAGCTCCAAGCTATTATGAAGAGAGCGTTAAAATTTTTTTCTCATTTGAAGTGTTTTTCAGCAATCAAAACATGTTTCTCCCCAAATTAGACATTTTATGTAAAATTCTCTGAATGTAGAAAAAAACAGCACTGAAATAATCCAACTTATTACTGAGAAAATATGCTAAAGATAATAATTTACAAAAAGTATTAAATTTTAAACTAAATCACAAGGATTCAAACAGGAAATAATGCAGCAAATCTACCGATTAAATAAAGGATAACTACACATAATATATTAAAATATAAAAATCGTACTCCAAGAATATTATATGAACAATTATTTTTAAAAATACCAAGAATACTTTAGAATAATAATAAGCTTATAGAAGTTATTAAAGAGGTTGATCATGCACAATCAAATATATTAAATATTTACCTACATCTTACGAGAACATCCCTAAGAATGCTGAGACTTTTGAGACTAATAAAATCAAATATTTGAATAGTAATTTAGTTTTTTACAAACTGATTGTGTTTGTTTATTTTCTTCAATATTTTCAGTAGCAAACTTATGTAATTGACCAAGGAAAAAAACATTCGGTTCCTTCAAAATTTTAGGTTCAAAAATTGAATAAATAAAAAAGTTTAAAAATCGAATAACAAAAAAAAAAAAAAAAAACACAGGATCAACTTTTTTTACAGGAAGGTTCCAGGAAGACACTCGGAACTGCTTAAACATCTTCAAGCCAACTAGAAGTAATTCATGAACTTAGAAGGAAAATATCAAGTGTTTTTGGCTCATTAATCAAAGGGAAAAAAAAGATATGTATATATGTATATATATATATATATATATATATATATATATATATATATATATATATATATATATATATATATTTATTTGTTAATCACTACTATACTATTTCTCAAACGTACTTTCTTAGAATATTATATAACATTTTTTGAAGAAAATAATTACTATTTTCATACTATCCATTTCAATGAATCTCCTTGAAAAAACATAATATATATATATATATATATATATATATATATTTTTTTTTTAATCATTATTATGAAACAATGATTTATTGACTGTTAGAGTTATGTATTTGGAAATAATAAACCATTAGGTAATGATCAGTAGGGTTTTTCTACTTGTTTTCACTGCTGATGTTTGATAAAATCACTCCATATGGACAATGGTGTCCGAAATTTGATTCTCAGAGTTCTATAGATACCAAATCACAAAATAAAAAATATATAAACTTTTAGGAGAGGATATTATTGGAAGATTCAAAATAAATGAATGACGATCAATCTTTCTTTTTTTTTTTGCCTTAAGAAGTTATTAGCATTCTTTTAATTGACGTTATCTTGAGCGATAAAGCTTTGTGAAAGTCTCAGCATTCTGTCAGAATGTAACGGTTCAAAGGCTTACTTTAAAAAATATATCTATACATTTTAAAAATATAAAGTACAAATAATTTGGTAGTCTTTGACCCGTTTACGCAACAATATCCTTACTGACTACAATAATAAGAAGCGAAGTGGTATTACCATTGAAGGGGAAGTTATTTACAAAGATGTCCAAGATTCCATCCGTCCGCCTCGTATTGTGTCGGGGGGGAGAATTTAAATAAATAAGAATATAGTAAGAGTTTGTGTACATCACAGTACAAAAATAGACACATGGAAAGTTACACATCTAAGATTTATTATGAAAAAACAATAATCATTTTAATTATAATAATGAAAAACTTTCTTTTTTTTTACACTTACACACAGCACAAGCATGTTAATATTAGAGCGAATTGGTAGCAAAAATTAAATAAAAGCTTCTATATCACAAAGGCAAAGAGCCATTTATTGAGTGACCACAGAAAAATTGATATTTAATGTTATTATCAAGCACCTCAAAATATCAAACATTTCACATAATTACACTGAACATTCACATAGATATGGGAGTGTGATAAGGGGTGGAAATGATTAAAAACAACAGAAAAAATATATACACACATATTACAAATGGAATACAACGGAGGTCCAACAAAATTAAAACAAAAAATAATACATGCTAATAAAAAATAAAATAAAATTAAAATTTTCTATACATATAATTATAACCGCAAAAAAATAAAAAAACTGTAAGCCACCTTAGATGCATAACTTTTCTAGTGTCACATTCTTAGAACCCCTTTCTAATCTCCATACTAATTAACTACGCAATGAAAAAAAAACAAAACTACAGCCTTCTAGTTACAATGCATAAAATTAAAAAAAATAAAAATTAATAAAAGAACTAAAGAGTAAAATAAGAAGAGAAGTACACGTTTCTCCAAAAAAATGTATCAACCCTGTATAGAAAGTTTAAGGTTTGATATTTTATTCAAGAGGTGCGGAATTTGGTCAGGATTTTTTTTTTTTTTTATCATTACGGTCAACCTCAAAATTAATAATAAAATTTTGAGTAAATTGAAATAAAATTAAATAAATAAAAATAAAATAAAAAAGTGTACTGTGTGTTTTACCTTGATCTTCACCGATTTGGTTAACATATTGGGCCATTTTAAAGTATTCATCTGCAAAACAAATAGCCTGGATCATTTGCCACATAATTGCCGAATGTTATTTTTATTTTTTAAAATTTTGTTGTGATTTTAAGGCTTTGTTCTGTTTTTTTATTTAGCTTTGTTGAAAAGAAGTGGAAGGGTAGAGTGAGCTGGGTGAGGATGTGCAAAGGTGATACAGAACAGTTATAGCAATCTTACGTATTTCTAATACAACAATTAGGTACTGACCTAGGTGAACCTCACGAGGTTTCGGCAGGTTGGTGACACAGGTGTGAGGGCAAAGAAGTACGTTAGCCGGGTGAAGAGTGCCCTCCAGGAAGCGTCGTTTGCATTCCGACAGGTGGATTCCTCCGAGTGGTGTCTTGGGGAGGTAGTTTGGAGGGACGAGAGCCAGACAGTAAAGGCCAACTTGATGAATAGAGTCGACAGCTTGGAGCACTCGTGACATCCACTGAAAACTCTGGAAATAATTTCCAATAAAGTTTTAAAAATAGAACTATTTATAAAAAGAAAAATGTATAGCAAACTCTTGATAAAGAAAACATTAGAAATACTTTCATAGCTCTTTGCGTTTAGTTGTTTGTGTTAGAAATGTAACCTAACCCAACATGTTGAAAGAGAGACCTGTTAGGCTAACTTAGGAATTTTAGGAACAGTGAATGAGATCTTGTGAACTTGGCCGACCTCTCTTCCAGACATAAAATTACTATAGTATTAAAATATTTTTTAAACAAACATGAAAATGTTAAATTTAAGTTGCCCACCTCCTCCTCACTGCAGTCAGGTCTCTGCTCTGCAATTACACATATTCTCTCATCACGCAAAACTCTGATGCTGAACACTGCGATCCTACCACGATAGATGAACTTCATCGGCTCGACTGCAAGAACAGTTGCAATAATATCATCAGCATTATGCTTCCTCCCAGTCACTGTCATCAATCCGTCTCGTGAACCACACACGAACACTAGTCCTCCCTGGAAAGAACATAAGAAAATTAAATTAAAAACAGATAATTTCATCCGTGTCCGAAATTATCTGTTTTTAATTAGGTTGCCATTAGGTAACCACCCCTAACCACCAAGAATCAAACAATAATTATAAATTCCATAATTAATTAACTACAGTTATGATAAAATAATATGAATTATAGTACTAACAGGTCCTAAGAAGCCAAGGAGTCCAGATCTGGTGTATGGTGAGTCGGAAAGAAGACTACTATCCGAAAGGATAGGCAGTACCCTAAAAGTGTTCTGGCTGACGCCGGCAAGGCCCCAATATTGAGTTCCTGTGGCGGGCGAATTGACACATATTTCGCCAACCTCATCAGTCTTACAAACGTATGGTGGGCCATCCATCTTGATCACACTTATGCAAGCTAACATAAAATATCACAGAAGTATTAAATTAAATTTGCACATTAAATAAATAAAAATTGTTATAGTAAAAAAGTTATAATACTCACAAGCTGGCATCACTTGCCCGCAGTCCTGAAGCGTCAGAGAGGTAAGAGAGTTCTCTTGGTCCACTCGAACTACGCCGTGGCTGAGCCCAGACATCGATAATACTCCTCTTCCAGTAGCGTTTGCTCCACCCCGCCCAGGCCTGTACCATTATATTAAATCTTTTAAAAAATATAATTAAAATAATCAAGATAATATTTTAAAATTCCAACAAGTCATAAGTCTTTAAAATGGCAGAGAATAGCAAACCAGTCATTTCGCCGATTCAAGAATCATTATAATAGGAAAAGTAAGATCATATAAAAGCTGGATAGAGATATAACACCTAGATAAAGAATAATGAAATACTTAAACTAGACATATATTTACTGGTTGATTTTAAACTATTAAATTTCTTAATACATTTTTGTACATAAATTATGAATTCCAGCAATCTTTTTTAAGTCATTAATAATCAAGTAATTCAGTCACTAAATTCCTTTTACAGTTCACTAACCTCCTGATGGAAACAGTAAGGCACTCAGAGCTGGAGGCTGAGGGGCAGATAGCATCCGTTCTCAAACCTTTTGATTGAAAGACAGCTAAGAACTGGTCGCAAGAAGACAAGGACCAAGGGTTGGCCCCATCACCGACCAGCAATAGTCGTAACGATGAAAGGCTAATGTCTTTGTGATCCTTCGTGGCCAGCAGGCCCCAATGAAGGTCCCTAGATTTTACGACTGCGACACTGGCTGAAAAAGAAAAAACAACACTTATAACATGAATTTTGAATTATTAATTTAATGATTGTTAGTATAAAAGAGATAGTCAAAAAGAGATATAAATAAACTATGTAATAAGAAAATGCAACAAATTTTGAGAAAGAGAAACTTATTTTTTTATTCTCATTCCTTTGCAATGATTCATTATTGAAAATGAGAAATCAAAATATTCATATAAATTTCAAAAGGTTGTATTTTTGTTAATAATGGTCCGATATAAATATTTTCCGACTTTTTTTAATTTTTTTTATGGAATTTAAAAAGCTATGAAATTATCATGGGTATAATTCACCATCAATTTTATCCTTTCAGAATCATGCGCAAATAAATTTTTCAATTTTTATTTGTGTTTCTCACTGTGATTGCGACCCCTAACTAACTTCCCAACAATACTATATTAAGTCAACTAAACTCCACCAAAATAAAATTGTCTTTACTTCTTAACTTTTTTCCAGCTTTCGCCTCCGGTACCGGGATGCGAATTTGTAATTATTTTATAACTATTAAACTTCAATTTATCATTGGTTGTCAGGCAACACATGTTTTACACACATGTTAGCCTGCTCAGCCATCCCTCACTTTTATCCAATAATTTTTATTCAAATGATGATTATTGTATTTAAGTAACCCATATTCCTCTGACTTTGTTCCCTATCTCTGATATCTTTAAAGCACATTTGGAAACTCCTCACACGATCTTCTCTCTTAACTCTAGGTAGTTAATTAGGTAGTTACCAATACTAGAACACCATCAGTGCTGATAACATGGTTAATAATATTTCTTTGCAATTTATTATTTCTAAGTTTGTATGGATAGCTTCCATTTGTCAATCTCATTTATTCACATCATTCTACATTAGTTTTTTTTTTTTTTTCCTTTCATCCATCACTATTAATCATTCATTACTAACTATTATCTTTTATAATATTATATTTCAGATGTTATAAATTTGTTTAGCCCTGATGACCAACATGTTTGGATTGAAAAGTTAGCAATAAAAATCTTTAAAACTGGCTGCATTCTGACTATTTATCACCCATTTCCATTTACTGCTATTAATTTGAGAAAAAGCCTGATTAAAACAAATAATTTTAATGAAAAATAAGATAGTCTGACTGGTATGAATTTCTTGAAAATGTAGTGAACATATATATATATATCTTTCCTCTTCTACTCCTTTTGCAATGTATAGCCCAAATAAAGCTTTCTTCATCTTCCTTAAGTAATCCATCCATAATGATTTGATTTTGATTAAGTGAAAATAAAAAATAAAATTGTATCAATTACAATAAAATTAAAATTACAGATATTTTGAACATAACAAAAACATAAGCTCACTTAAGAAATAAATGAAATATAACCATAGACAATTTAAAAGAACAAAATAGCAACTGAAAATAACTTTAAAAAGATAAAATTCAATTCCTTACCTCTGTATTTGGTAATCATCTGCATCCAAGAGGCTGGATTGACTTTCATGAGTGCGTAGGGTATGAAAACAACATGAATGCCGTTTAATACTGATGTTAGGACTGAATGCCATAGGCCAGCTTCTCTCTTGAAGTCGAGAACACAGACCATGTTCTCACCTTCGGTATAGCTGCAGGCCATAGTGAGCATTCGGCAGTGGCTAAGCATAGCAGCTCTCGATACAGTTACTCCCATAACAGATCCATCTTTGTCTGTGGTATACTAAAATAGAAAAATGAAATTTTTAATTTAAATATTTTTACTCTCTATTCACACTTAAGTGTATGTTTCATAGGTTAGTATAATAAGAATCAAAATTAGCTTTTGATAACTATTTATTGTAAGTTTCGGAGAATCTGTGTCCACCTCTTTAGCAAAACATATCATATAAAATCATATTACTTCAAAAAATGTAATTTATAGATTTAAATAGCCATATTTGGCAATTTACAATTGATAATTTGGAATTTATAATTTCAACAAAAATATTGTAAATGGATAGCTTCTCATTTTTATAAAAAAATGTAAATATATATATATATTGTAATGTCAAAATTACATGGCATATAAATAGTGGCGCGAAAGTGGTAACAGCACGAACTACGGGGAGAAAGTGCGTGCGGATGGTGGGGGAAGCAAGCCTCATGTAACTCAGAATGTGACGGGCCGCCAGGAGAGAATGTGATGGGCCGCCAAGAGAGAAGGTTATGAGCCGCCAAGAGAGAATGTGACAAGCTGTCAAGAGAGAAGGTGACAAGCTGAGAAAATAGAAAAAGGAGTCCTAGCCGGTTCGAGTGTTGATAGAGGCCACTAGTGGAGATTATTTTATGTTGGAAGAAAAAACATAGCAGGAATTAATTAAGTGGTACAGAAAACGGAACATTTGTAAGTAAGAAGAGATTATTTCACTGGCATTTGGGTGAGTGCTAACAATGCCATTTATGTGACAGAGGGATAGAACCAAAAGTTTAGACCGGGACAAATTATTTTATAAAACTATTTTAAATTATATATAAGTGTAGTTAGTAATTAGTAAATTAGTGTAGATTCTAGTTATTTAATGTTGAATGAGTGTTCAGCTGTCAGAACCCAACCTGAGATTTATGTTATATGTCAAAATAAATAGTATATTGAAAAAGGAAACTCGTTGTTTGATTTTGGAGGGAAAGAGGAACGTTACAATATATACATATATATATGTATTAATAATAATAAATAGAAGTAAATATGTATAAACATAACTTTTAACAATTATTATTTCATGTTTGTTAAATTTTCTTTTTTTGTGCTAGAGAGACTTGCCCCAGAATGAAAAAGTAATTAATCATTATTATTATTAAACATTAAATCGCATTCAAAGAAGTGTGATGGATGCTTAATATTGTTTAGATGGTCTGAATAGTTTAATTTGAATAGGTCACTCACTTCTATATAGGCCGGATTGTCGTCCGTTAGTCTTGGGGAGGGTGTCCAGTCTTTAGGTGTCTTTGCTAGATGTTCTGTGACAAACCAGTGGAGCTTTGGCCAGCCTTTAAAGCCAACAACTTCTCCAGCGGCTGTCTTCGGAAGGCCTTTCAGGCATGCCTCGCTGGTTAAAGCAACCTCGACACCACATGAACCTAAAAGGAATCCAATTTGCTGCGACCCAGCGTCCTGAAAACAAATATTAATTATAGAGAAATATAAGAGAATAATGAATATTTAAATGTAATGGATAATAAAAAAATATTAGCTTACCCTCCTGGTAAGAGGCACTTCGATAGGAACAGGGACGATACCAGCAAACATGCAACCATAAAAGGCGCACATGAAATTGATGGGGTCATTATTTGGGTAGACAAGGGCTATTCTATCACCAGATTTGAGCGAACAAGTATCTCCTCCTTTTGTAAAGTTCTTTGTAAGGAGGGTATATGCTATCTTCTGTGATCTACTCAGAAGCTTACCTGTTAAATAATAATATGCGCTAAGTTATAAAAAATAAAGTAATTTTCAAATACAATAATCATATATTATAACTGAAACACAACTATTAATAATTATTCAAACAGTAAATTAGTAATACTATATATACCATATGTTAAAGTGATGCTGAGTTTTCCATTAGGATCAAGCACAGTTGCAACAGGAGCTTTATAGGTTGCAGACCCATATCTTTGGATGGCAGCTTCAAGGTTTCTAGGCAAACCTGATGGAACCTAATGAAAAACAAAATATTATTTATACCTCATAACTTTATAGAAATAAAATAAAAATCTACAACATGAATCTGTGAATCCAGAGAACAATTATATAAACAATGAGAATCTCACAACGAGGAAGAAACAATAAGGATTTAAGAGTAGAGTTACTACAGATGGGCAGGTCCTCGTATTGCTCAATGTATAATTAGTATGACTTAATGTCTCATTACTATAACTAGGGATCATGGTGACAATATTAGTGTGTATGATAATCAGACCATGTGACAGATATGAATATGAAATGAAAGTACTTACAACAAGCTGTTCTCCAACTGCAGGTGTCATTGTGGCTCCTTCTGGCTTGGGAGCATTAGGGTCTTTTGGGTTGGCTGCTATCTCCAGTTCTATGTCATCGTCCTCATAGAACTCTGGTAGCGGTCTCCTCTTAGGCCGTTTGAGGGTATTAAGCAGTTGCTGGATCTTGGCAGACACCTTCCACCTGCCAGTTCCAGTCACTGTACCTGTGTTGGACAATAACAATCCTTGAGTAACAATAAATAATGAATTAGAAAATTTAATTCATGTTCACAATGTTTTATTTTAAAAAATAGTTCTCTATCACACTTATCTTTGAACAATTACTCTTAATAGCTCATTTAAAATAAATATAAATCTGTTTTTATATGTTTCAGATAGTTTGAGTTAGACTTTTAAATGCTTTAAAATTTGAGTCAATATATTTATTGGAGATATAGAGATTTAAATGATGAAAATCCCCAGTCCAGATTCTTTAACTTTTTTTTTTTTAACTTTTATTATGATATTAGTATGAATACATCAAGTAAATGTGTACATAGGAATATTATCACATGAAACACACTTGTTGAGAAACTACCCATTGGTAGCACTCTAATCTTTAACTTTAAATTTATAAAAATTCTATTGCAATTTCTGTCAAATTAATTATTATAATCAGAGATAGCACATATAATCCTCCTGTGATTCATTTTTAATGAAAGTGGGACTAATACTAGGTAAAAATTTATATACAGCACTGCTATTGAAAAAAATATCTACAAACAATTATTTATTTATTTATTTGGTAGTTCATACATAGTTAATATATTTTTCGAAGTAACAAAACTCCAGACCTTTCTCAATTTCCAATTCAATTTGGTGCTACCTTCACCATCGTAACGTTTTATCTTGGATATTGGAATCCAAGAATCATATATAAAAAAAAAAAAAGAAAACATACTAATATTAAGTTATAATATACTGAGCATTGCATTTACATACAAAAAGCAGCTGCGTCGATAAAAGTATAAAAGAAAAATATACATACATTCATATACATACATAAAATACACACTATATATAAAGTAATTTTAAAAACCACGGAGGTAGCAATCCCTCCGCAATATAAGTCATAAAAAAGTAGTACTATAGTACATATCTAAATAAATAAATAAAAAAAAATAAATAAATAAAAAAATAATAAAAATAAATAAATAAAATAAAATAAATAAATAAAATAAAAAAAAAAATAATAAAAAAAAAAGTAAATAAATAAACATAAAATTAAACGAATAAAAATGAAATAAATAAATAGATAAATAAAATAAAAAATAAAGATAAATAAAACAAAACGTAAAAATGTAAATTATGACATCGATATAATCATTGAGTATCATGCTATAAACGAGGAAGCAGCCTGAACCAATTACTGTAATTCATGTGGGACCCTTTAAGGACTCTTATTGTAATAGCGTTCATCGTTCTCTTGGGAATTCCCAACATATCCATGTCTTGGAAAGATCTTCGGCACCATATTCCTCTCCAAGTTATTGTGAGCGGCAGTACTTTTATGTCCACGCCTGGCACTCCCAGTGTACGCCCGATCGCCATCCTGCAATCTAGGTCCCTATATTTATTGGCTTTGACATTGTTCCAGTGAGTGGTGCTAGGGTTATCCCCGACGACCTGTGCATCTATAATGAAGTGTCCGCTTAGTCCTGAGCACACCAGGTCTGGCTTCCACCTTCGTCTATTACCAACAAACATTTGCTCCTTTGTGACCCTGTATCCTTTTTTTTGGAGAGCAATTTCCAACATGTTCACTATTGTATCATGCCGGCGCACTCTACCACCGTGAGACAAAATGCAATGTTGAATAATATGGCTGGCAGTTTCGCTTGCAGGACACCCAGCTCTGCATTGGGTCGGCATAAAAGCCCTACGTCCTCTGGATAATCTCACTCGGGTCGCGAGGGCATTTATATGAGTTCTTACCGTCTGTATGAAGGTCCGTCCGGTTATCGGAGCCGCGTAGTCTGTCAACCAATGAGTTGATGGGTGGCAGTTTTTTGACTCCCTTAATGCCTTACCATCAACGCTACGATATAACTTCATGGACAGCGTTTTCTTTCGTTCTTCACTGGAAGTGTTTTCCGCGTTGAGGCCCATTTTCGTGAGGTTGCTTGTGAGTTTTCTCATTTCCTTAGTGATAAAGGAGGAATGATAGGCGGCTCTTGCTACTGGGCAACCAGAGTACTCCATACGTCGTAACCTCGCGAGCTTGAGTGAGGGTATAGCACTGCTAAAGCTCATTACTCCCAAACCACCATCAGTACAAGCAGAATGGAAATACTGAGTAGGGGTATCCTGAGGCAGTCGCAGCCAGGAACGTATTGCCGCTCTCGTTGAGATATCCAACTTTCTCAACTCGTTCATTTTGCTTGGGCTCAGTGTGAGGAGATGAATGAATTTCGGGATGAGATAAGTTCTCAAAGTCACTAATTTTTGTTGGGGTTTTAGGGGTGCAGTGTTTGTTTTGTGCAGCAATAATGATAATTCATCGATAATCCCTTCGGCATTCATGTTGTTCAACGAAAATTTCGCTCCTAGGTATTTCCAGCAATCCAAGATACCCAACTGCTTGATTCTAGCGCCATTTACTACGAAATGATATCTGTTATCAACCTTCATAACATTAGAATTGACGGCCTTGACGAGAGAAAAGCTAAAGCATTTGGCTGGGTTGGATTCCATTCCCAGATCTTGAATAGCTGCAGCTGCGTCCGATAGTAATCTTTTCATGCCTTTCGATGAGGATGTGATTAAGACTAGGTCGTCTGCAAATGCCAGGCAGTTTACCATTGTTCCTCCCATATCGTAGCCTATTCCATCTGGAAGGGAATGGATTACCCAATCCATTGCCATGTTAAAGAGACTAGGGGATAATGGGTCACCCTGCCTTATACCTCTTCCGCATACAATAGGATCCGTATGCTGCTTTTTGTCTGTAATGCGGGTATAACATTTGCTATATAGCCCCTTCATGTAACCAATAAGTCCAGCTGGCATACCCTTCCATTCTAAGATTCTATAAAGTGCATTATGGCTCAGATTATCAAAAGCTTTGGCAATATCCATAAACGTTACATGGATTTCCTTCTTTCTCATTTTAGAGTCGTCTATTATTGACTGTAATGAGAATATATTTTCTGCAGTGCCATCGGAAGCAATAAACGCTCGCTGGTTTACATGATGCAAATCCATTTCGTTTAGACGAGTTGCAATTATCTTGTGCATTTGTCTAAGAGGGACTGAAGCAACTGTGATGGGTCTATATTCACAAGGACCAGCGGGATCATCCGTTTTCGGAATGAATATAGTCCGGGCCGCAGTTAACTTTGGTAAGTGGGGTGGGTTGGACAGATATATATTATAAAATATGGCCCTATGTAAGGGGGCAACAGATTCCCACTGCTTTACAGTGATACCATCGGGTCCCGCTGATGATTTTTTGTCCATAGCGTTTAATTTGACTTCATCAACTGTAACTGGCAGCCATAATGTAAACAACTTCTGATGCGGAATTGGCGTATCCGGCACATTGGGACATGATGCTCTCTCCATCAGCGGCCTCCAGAAAGATTCGAGTTGCTCAATATTGTGCTTGTTACGGGCTGTGGTACCGTTGAACACTTCGCAAACCGCTTTCTTCCTATCTCTTGTCCATAATTTTTGAATCTTCTTGAACTGCTCCCTTCTTCTGACAGTAGAATTAGCGGGCAATGATCTTTCACCAGATTCATTTGAAATGTTGCTTTTCACATTCACCACTGAATCGAGCCATGCGTTAAGAGATTCCGAAATGTCTTCCTCCTCCTCTGCAATCTCCAAAAGTGAAGCCAATACTGAATTAGGATCAGTTATCTCCTGGCATAAGTTTCTGGCTGCTTTCAGAAATTCCTGCTTATCCGTGGTGCCATTATTTATGGCAACAGCTGGGTTAGGATCTGCGGCTTCATCGTTACGTCCTTCCATGACTCTCTGAAGGAGATCCTGGTATTGTTCTTTTGTTCTAGCCTTTCGTATACTCCATATAGACCTACCGGGTTGCATACCGACAAGGTCCCGAATCCTTACATTTCCTCCTTGAGCGATCAGTGATGCTTCATTCAGAGCTAGTAATTGAAGCTCCTCTCTAGTCCAACGCTCCTTCTTCCGATCCGTGTTAATATTATCATTGAAGAAGACGGGGTGAGCACGCTTGATGTGAAGACCCATACCCGAACGAGTGCCAAAATTCCTGTCGCAGCGGGGACATTGATTAACGTTGTCGTCCATAGTCAGTGAGATTCATGAACCATTTAATTGCCTCACTCCGACTTGGGCATCGAAAAAACGACGATCTATGTTTCAGCTGACAATTCGCGCATTTTGGTGGCTGGTCTAAACTTGGACAATTCCCTACTTTATGTCCATGAGCACCACAGTGACAGCACCGTTCCTCGTGCTTACACTTAGACTGCACATGCCCAAATCTTTGACAACGAAAGCACCTTGTCACATCTTTAAAGTCCTCAACTTTACAAATATCTAAATTTAAGTATAAGTGTCCTCTGGATACGAGCATATTTCTTAAGCGTGGGCTGACTTCCAGGACCATGTTGACTCTCGGTTCCGATCTTCTACCAGTGTAAAATGCAAGCTTGCACTCTTCAGGGTGGCCTAGTTCAATTTCTTCATTTTGAGCCAAGATACATTCGATCAGTTCTACGATTGTAAATTCTGCGTCTTCTACTTTCCTGGGTACGCCTTTTATAATTACGCGTGGATTCCTTAGCTTAATTGTTTCGGATACCTTGCCGAGTTTCGATATATCTGGGTCTTTAAGTAAAGCTTTCTTATCGGAATCTCTCCCCGCTATAACTACTAAGCCTGTTTGTTTGGTATTGAAAATTTTATCAATTTGTAGACATTTGCTCTTAGGCCGAAGAGCTAGCTTTATTTGGGATTTAAATTCCTCCACGTCTTTAAATTTTCCATTAGGATCAGGAGTAATAGAAATAGCATTGGACATCCGGAAATCGTTTATTAGTGGTATTTTACAGGAGGCATAATTGTTCGTATTATTGCTATCGTTATTTCCAATGAGTCCATCAATTGACTCGTTTGGGCTGTTACTAATTTCATTCTTACTTATTGCGTTTTCATTACCTAATATTTTTTTAGTATTTCTGTAGATTTTATTATTTGTTTTAATAACATCTGATAAATTTTCTTCTAACCTGCCAGTTCCAGTCACTGTACCTGTGTTGGACAATAACAATCCTTGAGTAACAATAAATAATGAATTAGAAAATTTAATTCATGTTCACAATGTTTTATTTTAAAAAATAGTTCTCTATCACACTTATCTTTGAACAATTACTCTTAATAGCTCATTTAAAATAAATATAAATCTGTTTTTATATGTTTCAGATAGTTTGAGTTAGACTTTTAAATGCTTTAAAATTTGAGTCAATATATTTATTGGAGATATAGAGATTTAAATGATGAAAATCCCCAGTCCAGATTCTTTAACTTTTTTTTTTTTAACTTTTATTATGATATTAGTATGAATACATCAAGTAAATGTGTACATAGGAATATTATCACATGAAACACACTTGTTGAGAAACTACCCATTGGTAGCACTCTAATCTTTAACTTTAAATTTATAAAAATTCTATTGCAATTTCTGTCAAATTAATTATTATAATCAGAGATAGCACATATAATCCTCCTGTGATTCATTTTTAATGAAAGTGGGACTAATACTAGGTAAAAATTTATATACAGCACTGCTATTGAAAAAAATATCTACAAACAATAAAGTGATTGCATGTAGACAGTTGAAAGACAAACTTATGTCCAAGTACAAGCTTTTAGATCAGAATAGTTAAAAATTTGCCTTACATGCTGTAAATAAAGACAATTGCCTTGAGATAGAAATTGCTAGACTTTTAATATGAATCTTTTTAATGACAACAAATATAAATAATAAAAAAAAAAAAAACATAAGCAAAATACATACTCATTCCGTCTTCAGAAGACTGCCGAGCCCTGTACCTGTTTACCCTGTCGGCCGGGGTGATTCTCCTTGCCTGGCCTGTGTTATGTGTCACATCGGGCGGCTGAGAATCTAAAATAAAACAAAAAATCAAATTAAATGTTAAGTATTTATAGTATTTTAGTATTAAGTATTTAACCTTTACTTGAAAAGTTACAAGGAAAAAAGTTTTAGTTCCATAAGAAATGAAAACTATCGACAATAAAAATTACAGTGAAGCCAAAACTTTTAAAAAATAAATTTTCATTTTTTGTTTCAAGCCCTGCTATAAGCAATAATTATAAATTACAAATAGGTTTCTAGATTAAAAGTTGATGTTTTTTTCTATCCGTATATTGAATTCTTATATTAAAATAAAAGAAAAAGTATTTTTTCTTAATTATAAAAATCATTCTATCAAAATATGAATTTATTTTCTAAAACATGAAGAAATATTACAGATAAAAATGGTTGTAATGGTTTCTGGACTATGATAGATATTTCATAAGAGCCAACAAAATAAATAAATAAAATGAAATTGTATAAACTTTTTAATTAACTTATTAAATGTAATAATTATTCAGAAATAGGATAAAAAAATTATAATTTCAATAAAATTAAATACTCACAAGGCCTCAGGTTGTGCATGACATCAGCGAGATCTGTTATTTCTGGTTTATGTCTTCTTTCCTGCTTCTCCCTGCTTCCTCTATCCTGCTGATCTTCCCAAGCGACACCGCCTGACCCACCGTTGGCCAACCTAAACAACACGTATACAACATTAAAACAAGTCGAACACTGACAAGGGAGACAATGACATTTAGTTGGGAAAGATATCTCATCTAAGACAAATATTTAATAGAATTATAGAACAATAAATAAAGACACTTTATCTCTATTTTAGAAAGTATAGTCATTATCTTTATTAAGTAAGCTAGGAGGGGCATTGGAGATATGTGTATACACAAACAGTTAAAACTATACATTGAATATAGAACTTCTCAATATAAAATAAAAGTTCTCTATAAATCAAAAATCACTTAATTTATATTTGTATGTAAGGAAATATTACCAATTAGTACACAGAACATAGATATGTTATATTTTATTAGATATTGTTTAAGTATTCTATCTAAGTAATAAAAATAAATTTCAACCCATCAAAGCAGGATTTAATACACATTATGAGATAGCAAAAGTGACACCTAAACACATACAGTCACCACAACCTTCACGATATTGTCAATTTTTGAGAAGTAATAAACAACAAACTAGCATAGTTTGAATTCAAATTTATTAATAATAAAGTAAATATTTTAAGAACCACAAAAAAACTTATCACATTTAATAGTTTTTACTTATCATCTTTTTCACAACACAACCATACATATATATACACAAAATTCATTATGTAAATGAAACTTTCTCATCTTCCTTTTAACTTCAATTACCACTTATTACATTTTTTAAAATAATATAACATTATATCATGTTTATAAAAATATTGTATTTCATTTTTCATTTATGAACTTATTGGGTTTGACAAGTGTGAAAAGCATCATTATAACATTTTATAATTCATTCTTTCTGTACATTTTTTCATGATTGATTACAATTATTTCATTCCTTTATTATTAAAATTTTATAAATGACTGTTAAACTATAATGTAAACAATGATGTAACTGAAAGAGGACACTTAAGTTTAATACCCTTGAACTTGAAAATCTTTAACGATTTTTGATTAGTTTACATAATTTAAATAAATGTAAACAAACCTATAATTGTTATTATTCCCTGAGAAGCTTATAAAATGAAGCAGTGAAAGGTGATATAAATACCTAGGGTGACGATGGATTTGTGGTGGTGTCTCCCTGGCCGAGCCCGTACTACTCGTGTCGCTGTGCGGAGGCAGTGGAGCAGGAGCCCTCACTCGTTCCCTTTCCGGTGTGCTCTGGGCCTCATTGCCTATGCTATCTTCATCAGAACTTGAACCTAAAAACATTATTGACATTATAAGCTATACACAGTTATTTATTATGCAAAAGGTTTTCTCAATATTTAAGCTTAGTAAATGCTGTATTATTTTTGAGGAATAAAAGACAATTTCAGAGAAACAAAACAAAATATTGAAGAGTGCAACACTTCCTGATACACTGCAGGATCTTGAAAGGACTCTTCGGGAGGAATGGGCTATCCTCCAGCAAAGATATACTAAGTGGCATTTTTAAATTTAATATTGAAAAAATTAAAAGCCGGCGACTAAGAAATGTGCTGCAAGAAACGGCACTGAACTAATGATACTGAATAAACATTTTGATTCCATAGAAAGTAAACATTGGAATCTAGAATCATTTCATTGAATTAAGGATTAAGGGTTATTGTCCTCTATTTTAACATTCCTAATTGAAAACAAACAAAAATATTACCTATTTATTCATTAAAAACAATAGACCAATCCAAAGCAGACATATTGTTAGATGAAGACATGAAAAAATCAAGTGGGTGGAATTTTTTGCCTGTCAGTGTATCTAATTTTGAAATTAATAGAAATCAATAACCTAGTGTTTCTAGTAAGTAAATCTAATAAATCAAGAACAATCAAAAACAGGGTTCATCAAACCAGTATTGTCCTCTCATATTTGCATGAATTAACTCAAAGAGGTTCTCTGCTATTTTTGAACAGCCGTGGGTGCCTTGGACTACAATTTCTGGAATGAAAATTTGCTTGAATGATGAGTGAGGGGATTTTGAATATCTAATGGCACATGAATCTCTAATCAATTATAGATAGAAGAAACAACTATAATGACTATACAATAGCAAGAATTGTAATTGGATAGTCTGAAAGAAATTTTGGAGTATTCGTAATAAGCGAACTTTAATTTAAAATATACATACCATTTGAATAAAAATACTGTTTGAACAATGTGGAGATCAGTTAATACAATTGGTATAACATTTGTAGGTATTTATTATTGAAATTTTCTCTATAGTAATGTTAACTTTTTGTTAGCCCTGTTATCGAAGTAGGTGTAGGACCTGGTGTCCGATTATATAATGCATAATATCAAAGTAAATAGTAGTAAGAATATATCTTACCCGAGTCCCTACGTTCTCTGTCTGGAGATTTGGCCATAACAGAAGTCCTCTTGGAAGGCATTGGCAATGAAGGCTTTGGCCTGCTCTGCATTGCAGCCAAGGCCTGCTGCACAGCTTCCTGTCGTACTTCTGTAATACATTATTGTAAATTTAATAATTTATTTAGCTAATAGGAAAAATAAGAATCATTGCCAAAACCATAGCAGCCAATTCAATGATTAGCTAATTTTCAACGGGTCAATGAACTGTTTCGAAAAAATAAATAAATAAAATAGTAGACAAGTTGTTTTCATTATTCAATGTTGAAGTTCTGAAATCAACTGTTGTATTTTATTCAATGTAACTCGAGTCACACATAATTTATCCTTCCACTAAACTTGAAAGTTATACCTACCAGAAAAAGAAACCTCCAGCAACCCAAGTAATATTAAAATTACTGTAAAATAAATAAACAATAAGAATCATAATTAATTTAACTACTTCAAATTAGCACAACCCCTTCCAAAAATAAAAAAATAAAAATGTAAGTAGTGAAATATTCTTTGAAATTAATAATTTTTCAAACCAATACAATCCATTGCAAATATGCATGAGAAAAATGAAAACTTAGTATACAAAAAGATAAATAATTTCAAAATTAATTGTTCCAAATCAACTGATAATTAATGACTCCACAGTCTTTTAAAGTAAATTAAAAGAGTTATTTAATCCATTATTTAATAATATTTTCATATCCTTCGACCATGATCACAATCCATAAATTTGGAAAGTAATTCTGGTTAAATCAAATTTTATTGGTCTTGACAACTCATTCCATAGATATTCACTAGGTTTTAAATGTCAACTAAATAGTGGAATTTATCTTTTGCCTTAGGGTATGTTGTTTAAAAAAAAACAACTTCAAGTTAAGAAAACATTACTTGAGATAGAAATTCTTTAAATTATTTCATTCAAATTTAGTTTAAGACATAGGAAAAATACTTATATTTATACATCATAATCATACAAAACACAAATAAACTAAGTTCATGAAAAAAAATAATAAATGAAAACAAACGTAAAATTCTTTTCCTACAATGAACTAAAGAATAAATATAATCTCCTTTTTTCTTGACAGTGAATAACATGCAAATGGCTAAAAAGTATAACAACCAAAATCAGCACAGAATTCATGCATTATGTACATCTGTTTCACAAACATGCAGAACATCCCAATGACACTGGTAGGCTCCGAGCGACTAACAATAAAGCATTACTCATCCATGAAGCAGCATAACTGACTTACTTATGACTGAGGCATCTGGCATCTCTTCGCATCGTTGGGTTATTATTTACAGATTTAAATATATTTTAATATATTATTGTATACGTAGATAAAAAATAATATTGATGAATTAAATTTGCAAAGAAGATTGCAATATGACCATAAAATATTTTTTAAAAGTTCCAAAAAAAGAAAATTTCAATTTTGGGAGACAGAGTAGTAAGTCCCACATCTTCAATCAACAGAATATTTTTTTTTAGGGTTAGGTGGATTCAGAAAGCACCTGTTAAAATCTAATTTCAGTCAATGATACTCATTAATAAAAACTATTAATATTTCTTGTGTTGTTCAAATCAAATTTATGTGGTATTAGTTTATTGTATGTTTTCTTTATATTTTCTAACATATCTAGGTCATATTAAGAAAACTACCTAATCAAAAATTTCTGTTGATGATGTTTAAACCTGACAAACAAATAACCACAAAATAATAAATGTGGTTTTCATCTTTTATTAGTTACATATTATTTAATTAGAATATTATAATGCTTTAATAGTTGATAATAATTAATAAATTAGACCGATATTTACCTTCCCTTCAAGAAAAAAAAACAAGATATCTTTAAACAAAACTTTGCTAAATTACCATATTAATATTTAATATGGTAAAGATTCTGCCCTTTTCACTTTGACTATTTTCAAACGCATTTCAAACATTACAAAGAGGTAAATACAGCTATTATTTAAAATAATCTAAAAATTTGGCATATTGAAAATAGTTTGTGAAAAAAAAATTTCAACTATTGGGAACTGTTGATTGAGTATCAATAGTTAAAGAATCACAGAAAAATTATGGTTTCGATAACCTTCCATTTTATACGAGGAATCGTAGAGTGTGAACACTATATAGTGTTAGATCGCAGTGGTTTAAATGGGCAAGTGAAGTTGTGGCACTAAGTAACAGGTAATTATATAAAAAGTTAATACTGAATCAACGGGTAAATGGCTAGATCATAAATGGCACTCAGCGATCTTGCCGATTTGGGGTTTTGGCAACCTTCGTTATTACTGAATAATATCATCAAAAGGGACAATTTTTGGGTCATTTTAGAAGATAATTCCGAATGTTGTGCAACTATGTATTTATGTTTGAAAGGGGTTATTTAATGTATATATTAAAAGTGGGAGGGGAGGACCGAGTGTAAAAGAAGTTACTTTTATGTTTTGTTAATATAAAAAACAAAATAAAAAGGTACCTTTTATTTTTGTAAATATACACATTTATGTAGTACATAGATATGTTTTCACTCAATGCTAAGAATTATTCTCTCGTTCACCTGACCACAATTTCAATCAACATTCATTTAAGTTAAGTAGATACAATTAAGTTCCTTTAAACCGCTTTCCAACACTAATGCGACTTTGCTGATTATCTTCTTTCAAATGGTGTGGAGATGTGGATTAAATGTCAGAAGAAGTTAGTTGGGGGTGCGGTAAAAAAAATACTATTATATAATCTAGTATTTTTTTACTGCAACCCCCACTAAATTCTTCTGAAAGTACATCTTTTCAATGTGATTACCTCATCAACTATACTTTGATAAAGAACTTAATTGACTTTATTTGTTGTGTAAGAAATTCTTACCCTGAGTTATTAGCAAAAAAATAAATAAAGAGAAAATAGGTACTATTTTTTAGCCATGGCCACCTCCATCCATCATGGCTTCTAGTGTAAGTTCAAGTTAACCCTTCCATAAAATACTGCTAGTTTAAAAATTTTTCTAATTATTCTCAGAAAATCCTAATTTGACTGGACTAAAGCCTGTTATAACTATTTTTATTTAATATTATTGAAATAAAGAAAATTAAGTATTATATTTTTAGGGATTTATCAGAACTGAAATATTACGTGTGAAATATTACTGGGCAAGTCTCCCAATCCATAGATGGATCCATAAGTATTCCTTAAGTAAGTTCCTTTATTAATCGACTGAATCACCGATGGCTACGCGGTTCCATCAGCTTTTGGATAAGATGGACCGGCTGGATGTACACCATTCTTTTTATTTTTCAATCTATTTTACATACTTATATTCAATTGACATACTATCTACAATCATTTATGTTTTGAAATTCAATCGTAATATTTTAGGACTGATAACCTTTAGTTGGAATACAGCAGATAGCTCTTAAATCCAGCATAAATCGCCGTCCATTGGTGCTGGTTCAATAGATTGATACATTTAAAGATATCAGCGCTGAGTTTAGAAACTTGTCCACTGCTCCAAGTAACTGTTAACACTGATTATTTAAGATGGGTTCCTATTGCGGTAACAGTTGGGTAGTCCGGAAAATAATGGAGGATTTCACATTTTCCTTATATTAACCCTTTGCATAACAAACTGTTCAGGTAAGAGAATTTATTCTTCTGTATGGTGTTAACAATAATCAATCCTCTTCGAAACAAAAATCTTCTCTATCTTCGAAAGCATTTCACTATTTGGCAATAATTCAGTTGTTACTAAGTTGCCAAAGCGTGATTTTCACATAATTTCGTTTTATGAGTTTAAACTCGGTCAGAAGGGAGCCCAAAATTGTCACAAATATTAATGAAGTTTAAAGCGATGGTAGTTTGAGAGTGGAGAGTTCAAGATGGTTTAAAACATTTCGAGAGGAAGACTTCAGCCTCAGGGGTGTTCAGAAGAGGATTTTGTGGCGCAAGTTGCGCCATCAAACCTTTTGAGAGGGGCATACTTTTACGGGTTTTTGAATCTTTGAGGGGTGCACACTTCAACGGAGTTATGAATTTTCGCAATGAAAAGTTTTAAAATGAGGAACGAGTAGAGAACATGGAACAGACCGCAGCAAGTGTAATTGTGTATTTTCTACGATTTTTCTAATTGTACTTTATCTTGCTCTATTTTTATGAACAGGTAAGTAATAAAATATCTTAGGAGGGAGAGGGGATAGGTTCTTGCACCATCGAACTTGATGGACTTTTTCCCTTGATGGCAAAATATTCTGTCGAAGATAATCCAAGAAAAATTGTTCGTGAACTTCGCAGCAATTCGATCATAGCTGAATATCTCAACGCAATAGGAAAGGTCAAAAAGCTTGAAACTTGGATTCATCAAGCATTTAACGAACACCAAATAAATTTTCGGTTGAAGTTGGCGCTGCATTCCTTTGCGGAAACATTGTTTAGCCAGCATTGCTACATGCAATGAAAGGTGGTTCTATACGACAAATATAAACATTCAAAATTATTCATTGAAATTTTGATCAAAATTCCTAACGATAACACGTGCGTGCTATTCTGAGTTTAGGGAAAAGTTACCAACACACGTTATAGAAATTGAGCGTGAGTAATGGAGGGTAATATGGTTTATAAAAATAGTTTCATAACGTTTATTTTACACCCATAAACCTGCATTAATTTCAGGATAAAAAAATAGCTATTTTAGCGGCGACCCTGGTCAGCTAACTTAGCTGTTAACGAGGAATAGAGGAATAATGTATTTATATTTTTGAACTGCAATGGATGAATAAATAATTGGGGGGAGGGAGGGAGGGAGGGCGTGATTATGCCTTTTGAAGGTTTTTGAGGCAGATAGGTAGGCAGTAAGAACACTCCCCTCAACCTGAGGACAAAGACAGTAGAGTACCTGTTAGCTGGAGATCCGGCAACCCAGCCCTGGGTCACCGCGCACCATATGCTCGCGATAGCTCGTTAATATCGATGCATCGAACGGCCCTCGCGAATCCTATCGAATAACCACATCACATCACCTTTACTACATATTGATCAGTCCTTGATCCTCTCACCTTTACAGGTCAGTCGATATGGAATATTTTACAATCGATACAATTTACTTTTTTTTTTCCAAGGACTCTTGATTATATAGAAGGCTCGAATAATTTCTCGATAATTGCCAATCGTGATTTTAAGGTGAAATAACTGTCAGGACACGATTCTGCCATTGATAAAAAGATACGGCTTTAATGCCTAGCGGTTGTTGATCGGCCTATGAATACTTAGCGATTTCAGAGAAAAAAATATATATCATCTAATCTTAAGTATGTTACCCATTTAAAACAAAACTACTAATTTTCCAATCGATTGACAACAGAAGCACATTTGTGCGTAACTAACGTAACGTACATATTGGTTCTGTACAAAACCCCATAACAACCTACATGAACATTCCGACAGACTAATTCATGAAATGGCAGTGGTTGGGAAGAAGACTTAAATCTAAAAGGTGTTAGACGAGAGATCAACCGAAAATAACACAAGAATTAAGCCCAGAAAGACATGCTTGCTGGCTTCAATGTTCTTTCAATCCTCTCCCCCTTCACGGCTTTCATAATAATATTATCCTGTGTTGTCTGATAACTTTTTGGTCCACAACTCCTAATATCACAGCTACGAAGAAATAATTGAAACTCAAAGGAACATTTTTAAATTTTAAAATAGAATTAACATTAATGAAATTCGATTTTCAATACATACAAATCAAATAATCATACAAAAATTATTGACAAATTTCGATCCCTTATCATAGAAAATATTACAAATATATTTATAAAAACAATTTTTTTTTATTTATTTTTTTTAGAAGACGATTTATCGCAATAAAAGTGGAACCAAATTTTGAATGCCTTTCAATTCGCTGTTAAAAACGTTTTAGAAATATTTTTTTTTATTTTTTATAATAACTAAAATATTGATGAGTTGATTTGGGCAAATAAAGACCAATAATGGTTGACTTTTTTATCACAAATTTATTTAGATTTTTCTTTAAGTTCTCACGATTCTTAATAAAAAGAATTGAACCAATCACGTAAGATAAGATGAATCAGATAAATAATATTATCTCTACTTCAGATAGTTGGAAAACAGTATGTGTAATGCATTTTTTGTGAAATAAATTTTTCCATTCTCATTCTACAAGAGATTTCAAAAACCTGTCTAATTTCGTTGCTAATGACTTCCTATCTCGTAATTTAGAGCATATTTCAGCCTCAAAACTTCTCTTGAAAACATATATTTGATACATGTTTGGTAACCATTCGATCGGTTGTTAAGAAACTATCCAGCTGGTTTTAATGAAACATTGAGATGGGCAATTTTACAGTTTTTATGGCGATGTATTCATTTTTATAAGATCAAAACGTACAAAATGAAGGTTTGAATGAAACTTGCAAATATAAGAGGATGTCGGTGCTCCAGAAGGGTCTCTCAAACCCAGTCGATCGTCGCCACAGATATAGCGTTTAAAAAAAAACTAACAGGATTCGGATCCGGGCAGGAGAGATTTACGTACCTCTCCGAAACTATAACATGCAATTTCATAAATAGAAAAATCTAAAGAATTAACACGATTAGCTACTACGAAAACAGTAGAATTTCTTAAGGAAATAACGTCGAAACTTGAGGTTATATTTTTTTTCTAAGAAAGAGATTTACGCAACGCATATTTTAAATATGATTATAAACTTCAACGGCCAAAATAAAAATATTGCAAATAAGATTTCTCGACTTAAAATGCAGCGGCTTTACAATCAGCGTTCGACGCACGTCTCCGGGCTGAGAAGAATCCTCTGTGAATTATTTATAAGCGATTCAGCGGCTGTATAATAGTGAATATCCCGCATAAGCGGCTAAGGCAAGGTGCCGCTTTTCTCATTAGATATGACGGTACAGTCATCACTACGCTTCAGAATGCCTCAGCTGCGACTGATGCACGACGCAACTGGGTCACGCCAATAATAAAAAAATATTCCGTGATATATTAGGCCATGAAAAATAATAAAAAAATTTATTAACAAGCAACGGCAGTGAAAGAATCGTTAGTGCATTGTGATTTCACAGGTAGTAGCAGTTTTTTTTTTTTATTCAATAAATTTACAATCGTATTAAATAAAAATACATCTAGTAAATGTGAAGATAGAAATATAAAAACATAAATAGGCTTGCAGAGAAACTACCCATTGGTATCACTCTAATATAATTTCTACAATAGTTGATCATGAGACCATCTTCTTTTTAGAAGACCAGGAGGGTCACAGAGATCGAAGAGGTTATTAAGGTTAGAAACGATAGGGTTTGGATGGTTATGAAGTCTAATATGGAAGGGTAACTCCTTGAAAGCTTTTAAAAACAATAGCCCGCGGTACAGACCCCTTTTTCTCAAATTATGAAACTTCGTAAATAACTTCATCTCATCGCAATCTACTAATATTTTTACGAAAATTCTGAGAAATGGGAGATTTCCAGCTTGTATATCGGCAAAATTTGTCTAAAAACTCATGAATACCAATTTGCTTTCCACTTGATTCGTACATAATATAATTACAAAGTCGAAAACAAATTGTGACCTACAAAAATATTAGTCCGGTTGGCATGACCTTTACATCGAAAAAGCTATTAAAAAAATGAGGTTATATAGACCAAATACCCAATATGTTTGAGGTCCACATTTTTTTTCTCGATTTTATTGTCATATTATCTTAGGATTCAAGTGGAAAGCAAGCGGGTATTAATGAGTTTTTGGAACTTAATTAAATAGATAAAGTTTGCCGACCTCTAGATTGAAAACGCCCTAATTCTGAAGATTTTGTAAATAAAATATTTGTAGGATACGATGAGACGTAGCTATTTACGAAGATTCAGGCGGATGTTAATCATTTGATAAAAAAGGATCTGTGCCACAGACTACAAAATAAGAATCAAGGCTACAGACCTATCAAATAATTAGAATTATAATTCTCATAATTTTTTTATTAAAAATAATTGCAAAAAAATGTTTGCTATTTTCAGATCGGTTTTGATATAGGTATTTAAATAAGTTACAACTAAACAGTAAAATATCTTTTTCTCCTCTGTTTGTTAACAGATTTTCTTTTTTTATTCAGTAGCTCGTCAATAGCTTTAGTATTATTAATAAAAACAAATTTTGAAACACTGTGTATAAATAAAATTTTCGTCTGTTCAAAAACCGCTAATCTCCGAAAGTTCTCCACCGATAGCTTTGAAATTACGATAAAACGATTGGAACGAATTTAGGAGTGTTTTTATAAATTTCTTTACAATCCAGCCTTTCGTTTTGAAAAGGCGGACAAAAAACGTGTATTGCTGTAGCCGTAAAACCAAAATGATTTTAATGAAACTTGGCTAAAATCTTCTCCAGGAAGCCCTTTTAATTCATGTATATGACATACTTGTGTACGAAAAGAAGAAAAGTGAAGATGGATTTAGATTTTTATTTGCGAATAATTCAAATTGCACAAATATTACTGAACTGTTTTAATAGTACACATGAAAGTGTATGTTCTCAGATGTACAATGAACGAATGTATATGAGTATAAAAAAAAAGTTGGTAACATGAAAATTCATATATGTTTCCTCAAATATGTCTAGATAGCTATATGATATCCCATAGCTATGTCATAACAGTCCATTTCAGGCTTATCATAAATAGCTGTATTTTTTTAACGTATACAATGAAACTTAAAATATCCAAGACAAGCACTAGCGGATCCAGGCTTTAATTTTGGGGGAGGGGCTTCAGCCCGAAGGATTTCTTTTTCATATATATAACGATAATTAATTTGAAAAAAAAAAAAGAAGAAAGAAACTAATTACCCATGTGACATGGTGTCATAATGATTCTTGAAGTCCTATTAAATTTAATTACACGAACAACAATAGTTTAAGAGATAGTTTTTAATATTTTTTCTAAATGGTTATATTTTACCAATTTGGGGAGAGGGCTTCAGCCCGAAAGCCCCCTCTCCCGTAAGTCCGCCTGTGAAGACAAGAATAGAAACATCTCAATCAAAATTCTGAACGTTCTTCGACACAGGAACATGAAAACAAGGCGGATAATACCAAAATAAATTTAATTTTCCTGAATACATTTTAGGCTAAATAAGTATTTATCTATTTCGTTAATATATTGATACATACCTGAGTGGTACCTGCTCTCGTTCCTCGTGAGCCTTCTGTTCCCCCTCCGCCTCGCCCTGGTCGTCGGGCTGCTCCCTCCGCTACCCCGGGCTGCGTCACAAACATCTTCATCATCATCAACCTCATCATCATCATCATCAACAACAACATCTCCTGTTTTATATGACTTCTTTTTTATTGATTTAATGATCATTTGATTTTCTTTCTTATTAATTTATTTCAAGATATATATATTTTTAAAATTCAAAACCATACTGATAACACGTCATAAAAAATACACGGTAAAATTTAAATTAAAAAAAAAAATTTTAACTCAACAAAAACTTCAATCCCTTATATAATTTGAATTTTTCATATATTATAACAAGTCCTGAATATTAAAGACACAAGCATGTATTCACAAGGGCACCTTCGATTAATATTTTTTTTAAGTTTATATATTTTTTTTTTCAATATAATTTATACTGAATTAGTCACGGCAGAAACGACAAAACAGACAATTGTTGAATTTTAATAACAGGAGGTACTGTTATGTGTCACAACACTTTTCTTTTTAGCTCTGATTTTACCTACAAAGGCTTTAAATACAGGTGACGCTATTGAAAGAGAAGGGAATTAAATGAGTTTAAGTTTTTATAATTTTATTTTTATTCCATGAATTGCTACGTTCAAACTGTAATTATTTATAGGGAATTATAGGAAAACTTCAAAATAAACCCTCATCTATATCAAATATGAACTAGAAACTAACCAGATGACTTCTTTTCATAAATCTAAGGCCTATTTTCTAACATAACACATTTGAAAGGAAAACGTTTTGGTCAGTACTGGGATCATTTTCAAGCCTTATTTTAAACATCTGCAGTCAATCCACAATTCCATTTTTCTTCATTTGTTTTAGCTATGAGAAATGAAGAAAAAGGAACATATAGATTGACTATAGATGCATAAAATAAGACTAGAAAATAGTCCCAGTACTGTCTGAAACTCTGTTCTGTAACACGTTTACGCTATCAAATCAAAAAATCCATAGTGAATAAATGGCTTTAGTTTCATGAACAAAAGAAATTAACACACCATAAATACAAACCACAGACTCTAATACACCACTCCAAAATAGTTTCACATCAGGGGTGTCCAACCCAAACCAAGTCTATTCCATATTATGTCTTGAAATGTGAAGGAGTGATGTACTTATTCTATTTAGTCTTTTTTATTTTTTTTTAACAATTAATGTGAAATTTAATATCTATGGTTGGCATTTATGAGGTAATAGGTTTGTTTCAGTAGTGGTGATGTCTGAGATAGTTTGCCCTTGACTGGTTAGTTATCCACTACTGTTCGAAAAACAAGGCTCTATGATGAAAAATTTCAAAAAGTATTTAAAAAATATATTTTTTTTTTTGTAAACGTTTTGGGAAGACCTGGTACGTCTTTCCAATAATGTGTTCGTTATCGATTACATTACGGAGACTTTAACATTAATAGAAGAACAAAGCATTCAGGTTTATAAAAAAAAAAGTATTTAGAGGGCTATACACGGAAGAAATGCATGGTCCTCACACGCTAACCATATTTGTGATAGCACCACGACGAATGAAATAGGAGTGTTAAGTATATGGGAACGATAACGAACGAATCAGTAAAGGTACAAGCAATCACAGCCAACCTTCCTAAGATTCGACCGAAACGTAGGTGGGAAGTTTGAACAGGACAATTGGTAATCTCAGAATCGGGCGTTAGATTTCGCTTATTCTTTTACTGTTATTAAATATACATTTTTAAAAATATGAAGCGTATTTTATATGTACTATATATTATAGTTTGAAAACAAATATGTTGAATTTTCCTGGGACTTTTCCTGTTAGAACAATCAATGAACTTCCTGGTATCTAATTAACCTTATGCAAGGGACAATCCGATAGCTCAAATAATAACGTGTTATTCATAATTATAATTCAAAGGAACTGCTACGGGTTCCATAAACAAGCTTAATATAATTAATATTATTTAGCATAACTTTATTCAATTTAATAAAGTTAATTTAGGCGTGTAATTCCAATTCCAGAAAACCCCATCTAATTACCAATTTATTTTTATTCTTATTTAGTAAATAGAATTTTTCTTTTTCTTTTTGATTTTGTGAAACGTCAATGTACGCCAATTAGAGTAGGGGCGACAAAGAGGGAAAAAAGCTACTTTTTATTTTATTAAATTTATAGTTTCAGTTACAAATTATTATGAGATAAAATAATTTATTTCAAAAACGGTTAAAACAAACATTATAATATAGCAAAAAATTAAATAAGTCATCAGAAAATTAAATGTCATTGTATTTAAAACCAATTTTCTTTCTAAACAACTAAATTATTTTATTTTTCTATATACCGTATCATTTAGGGATTTTCTCAAATATAATGTTTCACTAATTTTAACTTCATATTTTTTTTTTTTCAATTTTGAACAAGCAAACAATAGTACTGTTCTTTAAGTATTATTTATTAAATACAAATTTATTAAAAGCCTTTAAAAACAATATTGTGTGAGTGTATCATTTCAAACAACTCATTCAGATCAAATGAACGGAAATCCGGACAGCATAGTTGTTTTCAGGTCGATTGGTAGTTATATTAATACGGCGGAAGTGATAGTAAATTTCATTTAAAATCGTGGCATGTCCAAGCGATTTTTAAGGTTAAAATATTTTGGAGGAATCCATGATGGGTCATGGTCTACGGGAAGAATGGACCTTAGACCTTAAGTAGGATATTATGAAAACAAGCCATCGAAGCGCTATAGGTTAAGGAAACCCACAAAGGAAAACTCATAACAAAAAAAAAAATACATTTTAATTTTCTAAATTGCACTCTCTGAACTCTATTATAAGTGTCCTTAAACTGTGACAAATTGTAATATTTCTGAATAAAGTGTTTAATAATAATAAAAAAAAAAAAATTAGAATTGAAATAAAAACTGATAAGTAGGATGATTTTGTGTCAAAGAAGTGCCTTCCGGCAGTCTCAAATCCCACCATTTTAATAAATAAAATTTAGAAACAAATTATGAAAACTTTACAAACGAAACGTTAGAAATTCAGCAGTTTAAAAATATACTCAAATGCCTTATCCAGGCTTTAAAAAAAACTGAATTATTTTTTATCTATTTTTAAAAAACGTTTGAGAAAATAGAACTTCACTGACGAGCTCTGCTGATCACCCTTTTTTTTAGAAGTATAATTTTGTGCTCTCGACCAATCTCCGCTGGCTTTAGTACCAGTGACGCGTTTGGGAGAGTAGCGCAGTGTTCTCCTGGAGTTCCCTCGCCTGATTGTATATAAGTATGCATGTGTTTTTTTTCTTAGTATTAATTTTCTTATTTTTTAAGTTATTTTATTTTAGTATCTATTGTATATACTTTTGATTATTATTTTGTTCTATTATTTTATTTTTTGTACATATAGTGTGAATGTCATCCTACCTCACTATAACCAATGTCCAAGAGACAGATTGTTATAATACTCAATAAAGAAAAAAAAAAAAAAAAAGTATAATTTTAAGCTGGTTATAAATGCATAAAAAGTAACGTAGCTGAGGTTGTAAAAAGTAAGATTTTATGTATTTTTCATAATTTTAAGATAACATCAATTAATTAAAGTAGTTTATTTATTAACAAACTGTCATATAGTCTTCGATTCCAATACGAAAACAGGCATTAAAATACTGCTAAAAGCAAAAATTATCATAGAAAACAGGAGAGTTCCACCAAACCAAAATCTCAGACAAAATATCTTTATACAAAAAAAAAAAAAAAAAAGAAGTCCCTCCAAAGGAAGCAATCGACACAAATATAAACACGAAATAATGATTGTCTAGTAACTATAAATCAAATAAAATAAACAAAAAATATCTAAAATTAAATTGGAGAGGAAGGAGTAATATAGCAATAATATAATACCACATATTAAAAATAGTTAATTGATATATGGTTGAAAAGTTAGTGGAGGGTAAGTAAGAACACACAAATGAAAATAATTTGTAAATAATAATTTAGTGCCTTAATTTTCCAGTCCTGATCACGGCTGAGGAAAAAAAAAAAAAATACTAAATATCTATTGTAAAAAGATATAACTACAAAATATATGTTATCTGCTAATAAAAAAATTCTAAGAATTTAATATAAATTAAAATACGTTATGTTTAAAAATTGTTGGTTGTTATCTTTTCTTTATTCAGCCCAGATGAAGGCCGTAACTTCGGCACAAAATAAAAAAATTATATATTTTTATTTATATGTCCTCACTGACCGTAACCACCAATCATATTGTCTACAATTAACTGTTTCTTCATCATTAATTGATATAAGTTATAAAATATACATATTAAAAATTACACATTTAAAAAAAAAAATAATAAAGTAATTTTTATTCAATATATTACTGTATTCTAACGTGATGGTTTCTGATATCTATTCAGTGGAATCTAAAGCCTAATCATTTCTATATAAATTAAACAAAAAAATGTAACCTTTAACCTGTGCCACTACAACCCATGAAGGGTCTTGGGTTCAGTACTGTTTAGGGAAAGCACTGTTTCTTAGTCTTTTCTTATATATATATTTTTTACAGTTATGCAAGGAGGTGATTTGACTGATATCGCACTAAAAAAAAAACAAAAAAAAAAAACGATAAAAGTATAAAAATATGTTTAAAATACCAGAGATAAATAAAGCACGAAGAAAATTTAAAAAAAAATAAATAAATAAGTGGGTAACTGAATGGCCAACATTGAAAAAATATTCAAATTGGCATTGTCAAAAACAAAAATATATATGATCTTCAAAGGACTACGGGTTACTGCTAATACCGCCCTTCGAGGACGGAGCACGTAGCCATGTTCATTCGGAGAACACGTGTCTAAAATTGCAACCTTGTGTACCTCCTCATGTGTCCAGGATTGGAACCTCATGTCTCCAGCCAGTTCGGTACCGACGTTAAATTTACGGCCCAATTGTTCTCCACGGTTTTCTTCTTTTTCAATCTCGTAAGGACGTGATTTACTGACCTTCAGTACGGGAGTCGTAAAGAGGCTTTT